ACAAACCCAAAAGATAAATATTTTTTTTCCATAGCAGTAAGAAAAAAAGGGGAGGCGGAGGGAATATACGTAGTGGGTGAGGAAATAGGGGAAGAGTAGGGAGGATATAAGTAAGAAAAATAATATTTTAGAGGATTTTTTAAAAGACCAGAAAGTCAGTGATAATGGAGAAAGAAATAAGATATAGTAGAGACAACAAGGGCAAAGAACAAACCAAGTGTCAAAATTTAAAAAAAAACTGCAATGAAGGGATGGAAATGAGAACAGGTACATTAGTGAATAGAAATCTGCATTAATTCAGACACAAAATAATAGGTCACAAGCACAGTAAAAGCAACACTGATAGGAAGAAATTGCCAAAATTTAAAATACAGGTAGAACTAGTAATATGAACTGCATCCAAATGGTAAAGAGGTGTATGCTATTTTTTAAAAAAAAATCCTGTTTTTTTAACCAGGCTACTTCCTTATTCTTTGTTTCCATAAAGTCAGCCAAATGAAACAAAATCGATACAGTATATCTATTGACAGGTTTCCATTTACAGTTGGCTGCTGAAGTCATTTCCACTGATCCTAGGTTTACATTGCTTGTTAACAACAGAAATAATCAAAACAAAGCAAAGCAAAGCAATGGCCCTTTAAGATCACATGACTGAAGAAGCTAAAGACATTTAAAGCCACTAGGAGCCAAAAAGAAAAGAAAAAAGCTTCACCAATCCTACTGAAATTGCCAGTGTAGACGACCACAGAGTGATAACCTGGGTGTGCATCAGAGTTACTTGCCAGGGCACCTTTTCCAAGGTCAACAACAAACACCACCAGATCTTCTGGTGCTTATATACTACCCCACAGTGCTTAAAATACTCTCTGGGGAGTTCATAATTTAATTATGCAGGCTACACATTGTATTCACCCCCCACCCTCAATTTCCTGACCTTGAAAAGATGGAAGGCTGAGTGAATTTCAAGCTGGCTACCAGAGATCTCAGGCCATGATCCTATGTGTGACTACTCCAAAGGAGGCTGGGAAATCACCTAAGAGAAGCCAAGCCTTCTCCACTGTGGCACTAATACTTTGGTTGAAGTACCTCTGGCTCCCTCCCTCCTAACGTCCAGAAGGCTACTGAAAACACAGCTCCTCAGAGAGGCCTTTTCATGCCTCCCTGCTTGGTCCTTATGCCTCCCGCTTTGTCTTTTATTTGCAAATTATGCCTCTTGTCCATAATTGTTTGACCTGTTTTATTTACATGGGGGTTTTTTTGTTTGTTTGTTTCTGCAAAGCAAAGTGTGCTGCTTATATACCACCCCATGAACACAGTTTTAGCTGTAGTACAGCAGTTTAATCACTGCGCCACAAGACTGGTTGCATTTTATTTCATTTGATGTTGTAAACCACCCACAATAGCACTTTGCAGTAAGTAAGTAAGTAAGTAAGTAAGTAAGTAAGTAAGTAAGTAAGTAAGTAAGTAAGTAAGTAAGTAAGTAAGTAAGTAAGTAAGTAAGTAAGTAAGTAAATGTTCTGCCAAGTATGCCATCTGTCTGCCCTTTGAGATGCAGTTCTCAGTCAGGTTGTGGCAGACTGCGGCTGTGACTGAACAGCCCAACAGTGGACTGCCTCAGCAGCAATGCCATGAGCAAGGCTATCCAAGCGGGAAAAGGAAATAACACTATGGTGGCAGACGTTTCTTGTCATACCAGGAAAGCTTGACAAGGGAATGATTAAGGATTGAGGTTCGTGCCAAGCCAAAACCACAAATCTCCACACTTCAACTCTGCACTCAGAGCACAGGCCAGGCATGTTTACAAGAGGGAAAGGGCAAACCCTTTGAGTCCTTTAATCAGGAGAAAGGCGGACGATAAATGAGACAAATAAATAAATACAAATAAACCCTCTCTCATGAGGCACTTGCCCACCTGCATGCGCATGGGAGAGACTGAGGAAAAGGTGAGACTGCGGAGAGGCATACTCCCTGTGTGGTAGTCATGGTGTGTGTGTGTGTGTGTGTTTGTGTGTGTACGTTTGAAAAGATGGCAGCAGAGGGTCCAGCAACATGAAATGCCAAAGTAGACACTACTCTGCAGTAACCTCCGGAATGCTGCCCACACAATTGTTGGAGAATTGGGAGAGTTGCAATCCAATTCTGAGAGGTGCCAGGGGAACTCTGGGAATTGCAGTCTGAAAACACTAATCTGCACTTGACTACTTGTCACAGGAATAAATGGTTATTGAGGTGTATGAGATAGCCATACAGTCTGTTCTACTTTGATAATGTAGGTAAGGAATCAAAAAGTTTTAATGCTTCTTGCATAAAACAGTCCATAAAAAAGGAATAAGCCCATTGCACTAGAACAACTTTCACTGATTTGCTGGTTATTGGGAGGGCACCAGGAAAATTCAGTCACTCACCATGCATCCCATTACATTCCTGTATACAAGATATAAAGAACAGGGAATCAGCACAAGGTAACAAAATACAGCAGAATACCTGGACAATGTTTTTTTTCTTGACTTGCAAGTAGAGAGAGTGATTGATACCCAGTGTGGTGTAGTAGACAGAATGGTAGACTAGGCCTCAGGAGGCATGGATTCAAATCACTGCTCAGCCATGGAACCTCACGAGGGGAGATGTGGAACTGGTAAAATTTGGAATTGCCAAAAGATAATTAAAAAGTGTTAAAGATTCTGGACCCGTTATTTTCGCAGAACAGGAATCATTCTTGAAATTTGGTCAAAACTGATCTTTTATTACATTATTCAAAAAGGAAGGTATAAAAGCTTGTAGTGACTACAGAACAAGGTCTATAAGCCAATCAGTTAAAATTGTCTTTAAGTTAATATATGGCAAATTTTATAAGAATTGTGACAAAGAGGCAGAAGATATGCAATTTGGATTCAGAGGCGATTTGAAACCAGGATTAACTATTCCTTATACTGTATATGTATCTGGAAACATGAAGATGCATTTATACACTTGCTTTATTGACTACAAGAAAGTCTTTCATGCTAAGACAGTGGAATTCATATAATTGGAAACAAAAAGCAGACATGAAAGTTGAAGACAAGATGACAAAAGACATAAAAGACATAGAGTGATGTTATGGCACTGCTTTTTAATTTGTCCTCTGAGAACATCTTTAGGGAAACACTGATTCAAATTATGGTATTATTGTCAAGCAGGAGGTTATCAATAAACAGAGAGTACAGCATATCTAAGTTATAATTTACATGACCAAAGTTTACTGAGTAAATATGGAACACAATTTTAAAATGAGTGTTAAGAAAATCAGTTTTATGGTAATCAGTAAAAAAAGAAGTAGCCCAAAAACTGCAGCTAAAGATCCACACTGCATGTATAGAGTAATTTGAACATAATTTGCTCAAAATTCAATCAACTTAATAGTGGGTTCATAGTGGTGCAGCAGAGGTTGGACAGAAATAGCCTTGAGCACCTTTGTTAAGATGAAGAACGCCAATATGCAACATTACAATTGGTTCTGAGCATGAGCATTATACAGTGTTATGTATTCTTAATCTACTGTATAGCAAGAAATCGTGAACCTTAATGCATGCTATTATAATAAAGACAAAAGCATTTATCTCAGATTCTTTGTCAGGCCAACTAACAAAGAAGAATTAAAGTTAATGAATAAAGACTAAGAAATCATAAAACACATAAAATGCAGAAAGTTAGAATACTTTTTGGTTATGGAGTAGAAAATTAAAAGTACAGGTTATTATGGATGATCACTCAAAATAAAATGAAATAGAAAAGGATGAAGAAATCAACTTTTTGGCTGAAGAACCTGGGAGACCAGTTTGGATGCAACACAACGTCATTGTTTACAGCTGCCACATACAAAATCAGAAGAGTCTTGATGACATCCAGTGTCGGCCAAGAGAGGAGCATCAAGATGATTCTTTTGCATCAGTAGAAGACACCTGGGCAGTCACTTGCAGTGCAAACCTATGCCTGTCTAATTGGCAGTAAGTCACCCTTTGATAGGGCTTACTCACACGCTTATAGTCTTAAATGAAATGCCAATCTAGTGGTGAGTTATCAAGCACATGTACATCACAGGTGGTACACAAAATGGACAGCACTCTCCCTTCTGCCTTCGTCATGTATGAAAGTGAACAGTTAAGACAGGAGCCAATTTGAGAAGGAACATCTCTGTTTCGTGGCCCTAAAAATTCTGATGTCAGAACAAATGTGTTGTTAATATGGCACAATAAGAATGAGAAAAAGACCTAGGGCATGCGTTGCTCAGCACCGTGCTTATTATTGCAATAACCATTGACTTTCCATTTCCTAATTGCCTCTCCAGAGCACCGGGAGACCATTTTCCTTCTCTTAACAACAACTCCCCAACAGGCTTCCTCTGGGAGGCCTAAAAAGTGCTTTACAGAATTGTTTGCATTTCTAATAACACCATAGATACGTACATTAGTTTGCATCTCAAAATATTTAAAGATAGGGATCTGATAGGATAACTAGGCATCTCCAGCATCAATAGTTTTAGCAATCATGTGAAAAAGAAATAGAAACAGGTTGCCATGCAGAGAGGGGAAAAACATACAGAATTTCTACTGATGATTAGTAAGTGCTTCTACTATGACAACATTGATATTTGTACCTCACTAATGATAAGCTAATGCTAAAATAAAACAAACTTTGATGTAATCAGTGGTACAGGTACAGTAACTATGGTTACTTAAACTTCCTATTTTAAAATAAATGGAAATGTCTCATACAAGCCTTAAGAATTTAATCCTCTGTCCTCTGAAGATGCCGGCCACAGAGACTGGCGAAACGTTAGGAAGAACAACCTTCAGAACATGGCCAAAGAGCCCAAAAAACCCCACCAATTTAATTATTCTTGGCCTTTGAAAGGTAACTCATCCATATTTATACGAACATGCCCAAAGAGCCCAAAAAACCCACCAATTTAATTATTCTTGGCCTTCGAAAGGTAACTCATCCATATTTATATGGTGCATTACCCGTAAGTTCTTAAATGATGTCATAGCTGTCTTCTGCAGGCGTACAAACCCAGAAGGAAGAAAGGATAATTGTTCTTCTGAGACAAGATTTAGATTCTGGGCTATGCTTTCTTCTCCTGTGAGTCTGTATAATCAAAGGGAAGCCTGAGGCTTATCTGTCTAAATGGATATTGACTCCAACAGAAGTCAAATTTTTACTACTGCTTAAGCGTGTCTTCCAGGTAATTGTAAAAATGGAACAGGGAAAGAAGAACAATTGAACTAATCAGTTGGATTTCCTCACTATCACTTCTCCTGGGGTCACATGACTTATCATTTCTATGACAGCATGGAACACAGCGGCATGGAGATTCCAAAAGAAACGTCCAGAGATTGCATTCTTCTGTCCCATTGTGTTCAACCTTACAGAATCTTCTTGAAAGGCTGGAGGCGGGAAGCAGAATTTGGGGCTTGAAACAGTGTTTGAATGATACTGAAATTCAGTACATAATGCTCTAGGCTTCATCACATCCTTTGTCTGGTAAGAAGGCTTTATTATTTTCATGATATGTGTTACAGTCACATCTAATAGTTTTCCTTCTTATTGTCAATCTGGATTACAGCAGTAAAACTCCTTTTGGGAGCTGCACTAGAATTGCCCCCTTGTTTCTCTGATCACAGTCTCTCCTCTATGCAGTTTCTAGAGGAAAGTGGCATAAATTATTCCTCTCACAGGTGACTCACCACAGCTAAAATCATACAACAATTAACAGTTTAAAATTAACAGTTAAAAATATTATATAAATACCTTATTTTTTAAAACACACGTTAAGCACATATCAAGAGTAAAAAAATTTTAAAAAACATTTACAAACTTCTAGGTTTAATAAACAAAGCATTCCTAAGAAATTTATTGCTTAAAAGTCTTCCTGAAAAGGAAGGTCTTTGCTGTCTTTGAAGAACAAGAGGAAGGACAAAAGAGATGGAAACTACCTGGCTTCTTGGGGCAGAGCATTCCAAACCCTGGGAGCAACCACTGGGAAGGCCCTCTCTCATACCCTTCCCAAACAATCTTCAGAAGGTGGTAGAACTAAGAGAAGGGTCCCCCCAGAAGATCTTACACTGTACAGCCAGAACATTTAAACCACCTGACTAATATCATGTGTGTGACCCTCAATACTGTTAAAACAGCTCTGATACACTGACCTCCCCAAGACCTCTGAAAGTGTCCTGGGGTATCTGGCACCAAGATATTAGCAGTAGATCCTTTAAGACCTGAACATTTTAAAATAATCTGACAATGGTTTTAATGTTCTGCCTGATCAGAGTTTAAAGCTGAAGAGGCTCATATGGGGGTGATAACAACCCTTCAAATAGCATGGACCCAAGTTCTATAGGGCTTTATAGGCAATAGCCAGGACTTTGAAATGGACCCAGAAACAGACTGGTAGCCGGTGAAGTTGTAATAAGAAAGTGGTATGTTCCCTGTAACCAGAGCCAGTCAACAGTTTCAACCAGCTGCATTTTTTTGAAAATCCTTCAAAGGCAGCCCAACATAAAGCATGTTGCAGTACTCTAGATGAGATGCATAAGGCATATGTCACCCAGGCCAGATAGGACATATCAAGGAACAGATTACAGCTGGTGCACCAGCTTTAACTCTGCAAATGTACTCCTCGCCACTGCTGAAACCTGTACATCCAAGCTGAAGGCTGAGTCCAGAACCACACCCAATCTACAAACCTGATTTTCAGGGAAAGTGTAACCGCTTCCAATACAGGCTGAATGTCTATTCCCTGATTTGCCTTCTGACTAACCAGAAGCACCTCTGTGTTGCTTGGATTAGGTTTCAATTTGTTAGTCCTTACCCAGTCCGTTGCTGACAACAGACACTGATCTAGGCACAGAACTGCTTCCTTGTAATCAGATGAATTGGAGAGATAGATTTGAGTGTCATTAGCATACAAATGAATCCTATAACCAGAAACGTATTTGAAAGCAAATGAAGTTATAGCCAAAAGCTAAAACTCCAAAATGAAATATTTCTTGATCGGCAGTTTTACCAAATTTGTTAGTTATTGCAAAAATTTAAAGAATTAACTTAGGTTTTGACAAGCTAAATTGGGACGTGGTGGCGCTGTAGGCTAAATCGCAGAAGCCTGTGCTGCAGGATCAGAAGACCAAGCAGTCGTAAGATCAAATCCATGCGACGGAGTGAGCTCCCGTCGCTTGTCCCAGGTTCTGCCAACCTAGCGGTTCGAAAGCATGCAAATGCAAGTAGATAAATAGGGACCACCTCGGTGGGAAGGTAACAGCATTCCGTGTCTAAGTCGCACTGGCCATGTGACCACGGAAGACTGTCTTCAGACAAAACGCTGGCTCTATGGCTTGGAAACGGGGATGAGCACCGCCCCTTAGAGTTGGACACGACTGGACAAAAATTGTCAAGGGGAACCTTTACCTTTACCCTTGACAAGCTAATACAATATTAGTAGGTTTGTTACAGTAATTGCTTTTCTTGCACTTTTTAATATTAACTACCTTGAACTTTCTGCAGAAAGGAGAAATGCAGCATTTATATTAAAACCAACAATGAGCACCATAACAGTGTTAAAACGTGTACATTGAACACTTTGATACCACCTCCACAAAGTGACTGTCAAGAAATACTTATCACATTTGTTGCCCCTTAAGAATATATCTACCAATTTTTATTCATATTATATATATATATATATTTTAATTCTATAACATCCAGTGGAAATTTCTTAATGGGCAGTACTCTGTTTTATAATTCACAAATGCAATCCACCTTCTAAATTGTCTAATTATTCTACTTATTAGCAATTGCAACCTTGGTTTGTAACTGATAGCCTGAAAAGCCTCAAACAGAAATCATAATGGTAAAACAGGATTTCTGGCTTACCCAGATTGAATGATTGCTCCTCCTCCTGTGTGAGCAAGTAGAACCTACCAGGAAGAGATAACTTTTTGTCTTGCCTACCTATGCAAGGATAGAAGCAAAGACTGCAGTCAAGCTAGCTAGGAGTTCAGCTGTGCTGCTTGATCATAGTAAGCCAACATAAGGCAGAAATCTGGGGTTAACGTTATGTGCAAACACACCCATTGTGTTGGCTGCCTGTGTGGTTTTAATTTCTTATTGTAGATGTTTAAACAGGGGGCATTTGAGAGACTATCATGTGCATTTTGTTTTATAAAAATAATTAACTAAAAGCAGAATCAAAACAAGTTTTCAAAACAGCAGCAGTAAAAAAAAAAGCAGAGTGCAAATACGATGTTCTGCCCTCTCTCTCCAGGAAAACTAAGACATTCCTAAAAGGAGAATGAGTTAGATTTTAAACATGACATCTCCCTTTCTCCAAAATTGGAAATGCAATTTATGGGGCCAGATACAGAGATATGGAGTTGTTGCTGGTAAATAAATTGAGCTTATGCAAATTATCTGTAAAGTCTAACTTGGGCTACAAATCAAAACATACTTATCTGGGAGTAAAAACCACTGAACATAGTGGAACTTACTTCAGCGCAAAGAGGCATCAGGCTGCGTTGCTTATTCGTAGTTTATCTCCTACTTCCACCTGAGCCAGTGTCTTCTGTGTTACAAGTGCTTTCAAGTATAGCAGAACAGCTTTCATAACAATGAGACCAGTTACTGGTGTCACATGACATCCAAGATAAAAATGACATCAACAGCTACTCAGTTAAAATTAGGTGGTGACCTTGGTCTTCAATCCTCTGTCCCCTTTTGTTGGCTAACAACAGGAAAGCCTCAAAAGCAAACATCTGGAGAAAGAGAACACTCAGTCCAAAAGAAAAGTCAAACTTAGTTTACCTCTGGGTACCCTTCTGAGTTCTCTCAAGTGCAGAGCATATCAGGTCCAGGAAACATGCAAAATAGCAAGTACTACCTTAGAGTGCAGTGCCTGAAGGATGTATATTTCAATGCACTACTATGTCCAGGAAGATTACTTAAATGCAACCAATGCAGTTTACGAACAAGCATTTAGGAAATCACATGTAATCTAGCACCTTTCCCTAACCAGAGAATTTCTGACATTGGAAGGCTTTTAATCATGCAAACTCTCAAATACATTTTGAACTTGATCCATTCTACGAAGGCTTCACCTATAGATGCTCTTAACAAAGGGGAAGGGAATCCCCCTCTAAAATTTTCTAGTGAGCCATTTCTCCACCTTTTAGCCTACAAGCTGCCCTTGCCCTTTATAATACTATATTTCTAACCATTTTAATTGCTGCCGCTTTAGTATATCCATGTCACAAATATAAGGTTGGTGCAAGCAACAAATGAAGAATAAGTAAGGTATGGTATCACTGGATTACAAAGCTACATTTATAAGAAAAAGTACCAATCTGAATTGCAGACAAGATTTACTGAAGAGAGGTCAATTCTCAAATTCTGTGACTAAGGGTACAGTTACACTACAAAAATCAAATGCAAGATGAATTGGGGAGTTTTAAGTCAGTGTATGGTAGTCGTGTGGTTCTTAGGTCAGGGTGCGCATTCTCTTGAGAAAACTATTAATCTGTTTGAAACTGTGTTGTATATCTGTTAAGGAGACTATACAGGCTTTTAGAATCATTGCATTTGAGGCTTTGTTCTGCACCCACTCACCTTTACACCGGCTGTCTCTATTTTTCTTCTTGAAGTCTGGCATAGTGCTAGTTCAGTATGACAGATAGAAAAAATAAAACAGATCTCTATCACAAACACACAGAGGGGTGGAGAAGGAGAAAAGGAAAGGGAGTCACAGCTGGGGCTGGCTAGAGGGAAGGCAGACAACTGAGTGAGAAAGAAACTGAGCAGAGAAACTGACAAGCTCATCAGCTTCTATGTTTGCAAAGGTGGGAATGTTTTATCTATCTATCTATCTATCTATCTGTCTGTCTGTCTGTCTGTCTGTCTATAGTATTTTACCCACCATTATCTTTAAAAGCACCCAAGGCAACTTAGAACAATTAAAAGACAGTATTTAAAAGCTAAAAACAGTGAGTATACAAATATTTTAAAAAGAATTAAATATGCATTGTATTGAAAATGGTCAATAAAATCAATACTAAAAGCACATTTAAAAAACAACAGAGCACAACAATCCATTCAGAAAGAAAATTCTCTCAGCCTGTCAGTCACTAAACAAAATAGCACAGAGTGCTGTCCTCTGAAGATGCCAGCCACAGAGACTGGCGAAACGTTAGGAAGAACAACCTTCAGAACACGGCCAAAGAGCCTGAAAAACCCTCAACAACCACTAAAGAAAAGTTTGC